ATATTTTTATTACAAGTATTGCAAAAGTAATATCCTTGATACTGAAAATGTAGATGTCTATGTAGAAAACAACCAAATTTGCACAGCCTCAGATGATGACTGCTAACTTCTTGTCGATTTTCTTCCATTCTTTCTTCTATACACAGGAATTTGTTGTCATTTTTGTTTACATGTACACTTTTATAGACTTTTTTCTGTTTTTCAAGTTGAAAATACTCATTTCATTCAATAACCGTATGATTTGAGTTTTACCATAAGCCACAAAGATTGGGGAATACCTCAGTCACTGCCTTGTGAAGCTTACATTCTAGTCATGGGAGACAGATGGAAACAAATAATAACTTTCAGAAAGTTATAAAGAAAGAAGTGAATGTTACCCACAGTCCTATCACCCAGACATAATGATGGTTAACATCTGGTGTGTGTCCTAAATTTATTTTAAAAAGCTAGTGTTGAAAAATAGATTTTTAAAAAACAAAAATAAGATTAGATCATAGATTTTTTTTTCCACTTTCCAACATGTTGTGGACTTTTTTTTTATGTTAACTAAAGCTTTGTAATTAATAATAATATAATGTAATACAATACAATAACAATGGCTGCATAATACTGTTCCATATAATGGATGTGCTATTTATTTAAACATTTTACTAAAGGTTGACAAATAGGTTATTTATAGGTTTTTTCTCCTCTATTAGAAATTATGTATCAGATATTCTAAGCCTTTGGAGAACCTGAATGTTTCCTTAATTTCTGTTGTAAAAGAGAAATCGCTCAGTTTAAAAGCATATCCATAATTAAAATTTTGGTATTGTTGCTATACTCCCCTGCAAAAGGCTTTTTAATAGTTGATGGAGCTGTCAGCAGTGTCTGAGAGGACCATTTTCGATCTATCCTTATATTGGATTTTTAAAAATTGAGATATAATTCACATTCTGTAAATTCTCTTATATTTTTAAGTTGTGCAATTCAGTGGTTTTTAGTGTAGTCACAAGATTGTATAAAGATCACCACTATTTGATTCCAGAACATTTTCACCACCCCCAAAAGAAACTATATGCCCATTAGCAGGCACTCTTCCTTTCCTCTTCCCTCAGGCCCTGGCAACACTAATTTACTTCTTGTCTCTATGGATATGCCAATTCCGGGCATTTCCTATAAATGGAATTATACAATGTGTAGTCTTTAGTACTTGGCTTCTTTCACTTAGCATAATGTTTTCGAGGTCTATCCATGTTGTACCATGGGTGATTTTCTTAATTAGAGTCTGTTTTGACTTTCAAATACTTTCCTTGGACCTTTGGGAACCATTGACCTAGGCCATCATCTCTCCATTAGTTCTCAAATCCTCTACAACTGACCCAGATCCAGTTTATCTGGATTCATATCTTCAAGTGTCTTTTCTGGGAATATCATAGGTTGCTAATTTTGAGTCAAAGAAGTGGGTTTTCTTGCTAACAGTGAGGTTTATGAGCTAGTGTTGTTGAGTGTTTTTTTTTATCAGTTGGCCTCTCTAGTTCATCCTGTGTTCTAGGTGCTCGTCTCTTTTTAGTAAATTGTCAATATAATGTAAAATATTGCTGGTACTGTTGTCCATCATCGCCATTCTGTTCCCTTCAGGGCCATTTTCAAAGTGGTGATTTACTGTCCTTGGTAGAGGCTGCAAACAGTCTATTGAGGCTCTTTGCCTCTTCTCCACTGACCTTGAGACACATGGAAGAAATATTTTTTGTCAAATTTTTTAATCATCAGCAGATATCTTTTCCAAGCCCCCCAACAAGATGCCTTAAAAATAAAAACATTTCTGGTCGGTTATTGACTTTGGGGATTTAATTTTATTTTTTCAATACTAGTATCTTCCTCTTGGGATACTTCTCCCTTTTTAACATTGACTAATTGTGCTGCATTTCTTGAGGTTCCCTTCTTCCTGTAGGATGTCCCCGCTCTGCCACTCCTTAGGAATATAATCTTTTTTAAAAAATATTTTATTAATATGCCAGAGAGAGAGCGAGAGCACAGGCAGGGGGAGCGGCAGGCAGAGGGAGAAGCCTGATGTGGGATCCTGATGGGGGACTCCATCCCAGGACCCTGAGATATGACCTGAGCCGAAGGCAGATGCCTAACCGACTGAGCCACCCAGGCATCCCAACCTTTTTTTTTTTTTAAAGATTTTATTTAATTATTGGAGAAATCACAAGCAGGGAGCGGAAGAGGGGCAGAGGCAGAAGGAGAAGCAGACTCCCCACTGAGCAGGGAGCTTGACTTGGGGCTCAATGCAGGGCTTGATCCCAGGACCCTGAGATCATGACCTGAGCCAAAGGCAGACCTTAACTGAGCCACCCAGGCACCCCAGAATATAACCTTTTGGTAAGTTGCTTCATCACTGTGACCTGGCTATCTTATCTGTAAAATGGGGGGTAGAGCAGATAACTGTTTGTGATTCCTCAGAGTAGAATTGCTGGGATGTCAGGTAGTTACATGTTTACATTTATAAAGAACTACCTAACTTTTTCCCAAAATGGTTGTATAGGCCAAGTCCATTTAACATTTCTAACCAAGTCCAATCACGCTGGTCTGGTGGCCAAGCAATTGTTATGGTTTCCTGGGATGTATGTCATAAAGTGCTCAGTGAAGCAAGCACTAGCTTTTGGCCAGAAGGTCCAGATCCAAGTTCCTCCACTCACTAGGGGTATGTCTGTGGGTACATCACCTAACATCAGTAATCTTCTGTTTCTTCATATACAAAATAGGTGTCTTTACACTAACCTTTCAGGATTGTTGTAAAGATTAGAGATATCAAGAAGCATGCTTTGCATAATTCTGAGTATATCCATATGATATATGTCCAATAAATGTTAGCTGTTGCTATTGTTACTGCCTAGTGATTGCATATCCAGTTTCTACCATCTGCCTTCATCTGCCTCCACTTTGGAGGGCCCTGGCCTTCAAAAGATAGACCTTGAAATGAGGTATGAGTTAAAAAGAGGGTCCCACTTTTATCTACAGAGAGCTGCCTTGGTGGAATTAGGTCTTGAATATGTTGTCTTTGAAAGCCTCTTTAATAAACTAACTTGTATCTCTTGCTTTTTTAGTGTGTCCACCCTTGCATGCTAAGCAAAAACTTGTCTCCTGAGGGTCAAGTGTCCCTTGCACAGAATTCATTAATATCCCAGGGATGGCTGTGTACTCTCGGGTTCTGAGCTTCACCGGGGTACCTATTACTGCTCTCTTGGGTTTCTTGTTGCCTTGTTTTTTCTTTCTCTCTTCTTTTTTTCTTTTTATTGTGGTAAAAGGTGTAGCATAAAATTGACTCTCTCAACCACTTTCTTGTATTTGATTTTAAATTCCTTTTAAGTTTGCTTAGCTTCTCCTTTTCCTAAGCCATCCTAAGTACTAAATCAGCAGTGAGGTAGTCAAACTGAATTGTTTTCCTTTCTTTCCCTTTTTCCTTCTTTCTTTCTTTTTCTCTTTCTTTTCTTTCTTTTTCTTTCTTTTTCTTCCTTCTTTCCTTCCTTCCTCTTTTTTTTTTTTTTCTTTTCTTTCTAATAGTGAGTGCTGCCAGAATGACCAGTTCTTTCTGGACTTAGGCTTGTTTATGACACTGGACTTTATTTATGATAAAGATCCAAAAAAATCCTTCTTTTCTTTCATCTTTTTCTCCTGGGATTCTCAGTGTTACATTTGGGAGTATTGGACTAGGGAAGGGAGCTGGGAAACACAGAAGGGGAAGCATGCAGCTGAATTTTGCACTCCATCACTCCCAGGGTGGGCCAGGAAGTCTGAGCACAGATTGGGTAACCAGAACACTGGAAGGAAGCCACGCCACCTAGGCAAGTGTCTGTGCCCTTTAGCACACACCAAGCCTCTTGTTAGGGGAGCAGACTAGTCACAAATGGTGCTGTTCCTAAGCCATCATGCAAAGATGATTGTAGCCGACTTCCTGGAAAGCCTGCTTGTCCCTCCCAGGCTCTCCTTAAATTATTTCTTTGTTCCCAACCCAGGAGAGTATGCTGTTGCCTGAAACCAGCACCCACGTTATTGGATTATTGCCAACCTTAGCTTGGTTATGAAATGACAGATGTACTCTGTGATACCAGACCTGAAAGTCTGAGATGTGACTTCTGCTTCCAAAGGGATGTTTCCTGAAAGTGGTCACCTTGGGAAGCAGCACCTTTATTTAATGGTGCTCAAAAACAGCTTCAGAACTTCCTTTTTAGGAAGATGTCTTTAGCTTCTGTGACACATTTTCTTCTAATGGCATCTGTCACAATAAAGCTTTCTCTTACATGGGCAGGGGTTTTTGTTGTTGTTGTTTTGTTTTGTTTTTGCAAGTGGCCAAAGGTTATTTGGTGCTGTGTCTGGGGGCTTAGATGATCATACAGAGGACCACCACTTTTAGTTAAAAATAAAAGATGTAGTTTTGAATGATCCAAGTTTTCTTGTTGAAAACCAAACCAGCTGAATGTTGATGCAGCTTGAGGATATGTGAGAGCAAAGATTTGGGGAAATCAACACCATGCTGAGTTTGCCCCTGCATCCTTGCCATCCAGTGATACCACTTTTATTTATGAGCACACTTGAGCAGAACTTTCGTGTACTTGCATGAGATATGCCATTCTGGGTCAGAACAGTGTGCCTAGGATCTAAAAGTATCTTGTGGGACATCATTGTTGTTGCCTGTTCTAGACGTGGGACTTCTAAGGTGTTTCAGATTTTGGCACATAACATGGAAATCCTTTAGAGTGGTAGGGTTTGTTTGTTTTTTTTTAAACATATGAATTTTTTATATGCTAACAGTGGCTTGGTGCGGGTCCACAAAGGCAAACAAATAAAGTGTGTCCCAGTTGCCACTATCTCCCTAAGACCTAGCCCATGAAGAACTAACACACGGTAGGAAATCAGTAAATGTTGAACACATCCGTGCATTCAGACGTCATAGCACTCTCTAGAATGAAGCATGCAATGGAAAAGTAATATGCTTGTTTCTCTCTCTTTTACAGTTGTCAAATTTAAAAGTTCTGAATCACTCCCCAATGTCTGATGCCTCTGTCAATTTTGACTACAAATCCCCCTCCCCGTTTGACCACAGCACTGATCAGGAAGAGAAAATTGAAGATGTTGCCAGTCACTGTCTGCCTCAGGAGGCCCTGTATGCTGCTGAGGAGGAAGCTGAGACCCTTTTTCCTAGGAAAATGACATCCCACAATGGAATGGAGGACAGTGGAGGGGGAGGCACTGGAGTAAAGAAGAAAAGGAAGAAAAAGGATCCAGGGGAGCAAGAGGGTACAGCAAAGGGAAGCAAGGACAGGGAGCCCAAGCCAAAGAGGAAGCGAGAACCTAGAGAGCCAAAGGAACCCCGGAAGGCCAAGGAGCCCAAGAGGGCCAAGGAGCCCAAGGAGCCTAAGCAGAAGGATGGAGCCAAGAAAGCGCGGAAGCCTCGGGAGGCCTCGGGTACCAAAGAGGCCAAAGAGAAGAGGAGCAGCGCCGACTCTGTAGCCAGGACGAAGTCCAAGAAGGCCAGGTGCGTCTCTTCCCCGCCCCCTCCCCCCGCCCCCCGCACACTTGGTTCTGCCTACACAGAATGGTTTGCCTTTGGCCTTACTCCAGCCCCTGGACATAACTCTACTTCTTTCATCCAAAATGAACCACTTTCTCACCTCCTGATGAGGGAAAGATAACCTCAATACTGGCCCTCCCACTTCTTACCATTCCTTCTGGATTAAGAAGAATTAAAATACATTCGCACGCACAGGATGTAAGGGAAGGGACGTCAGAGGGTGACCCAGGGAGGTTTGGGGGACAGCAGCAGTGTGGAGTGGCAGAGGGGCAGCTGTCAGGATGATGCCTGGTCCCGGGAGTCAGTGCGCGGGCAGTCTGGGAGAGCCGTGGGTCTGCGCACACCGAAGAGGACTGCCCAGCTTCCCTCGGCCACGAGCTCTCTAGTGTGGGGTCACTCCTTGTCTGTTTCTCTCATCCAGCCTCTGACACAGTGCCGGACACATCAGTAGTGCTCAGGAAGGGATACGTAAATGAGACCAATAGAGACCACAGTAGAGAGCTTGGAGGGCATGGGTACAGATTCACCACAGAGTGGGTGGCATTAAGGGTCCTGGCTAGAGATCCTATCAGCATCCACATGTACTCTTCATTCAGGAAACTCCGTATTTGTCATCGTGTACAAATGGAATGTTTCTCATTTTGTCTCTTCCTAAATTCTTTGAACAGAACATTTAAACTTTCTGAGGAAATGCAAAGAAAAAAATACATAACCTCTATATAGTTAAAAGGAACTCAAGGAATTTAAGTTTCTAAAACCTCAGTGCAGAGGCAGAATGTAGAGCAGGAGCACCCATAAAACGCAGAGATTGATGTGAGTGCTCACATAAAGTAATGAGATTGTCAGACCAGGCATGGAGGAAGTAAGTTTTAAAGAGAAGAAAGCATTTTGGATGGTTTATGCTATGACTCAGAATTTACTATATAGTTCGTTCATTTTCAAAAGGATTTTGTTGGGACCAGATGGATAATTTCATAATCCAAGTTAAAACTGCCTTAAAATATTCATTCCCTTCTGCCTGGCAGGGGATTTCATCTTTTGTCTATCATAGAGGCTTGGGGTGTGGGGTGATCCTAGGAATGTAGTTTACAGACAGTGTACCTAAAGTATCCTATAGAAGGTCAAGAGTGGTAGGTAAAAATCAGGATTCTCACTAAAAAGAAACTTAGGGGCTCTGTTTCTTAGTGAACCTAGTGAGCATACTAGGTGACGTAGCAGAGTGAGCGTCTGTCTTCTGCTATAACTTTCATCTCCGAGTTACTTTGGAGAAGCTTAAGTGGTTCTTCAGGGTAATAACACATGTGAGGGAGAACCAGATGTGAGCTAGTGGGGTGACTTTCAGAAAACAAAGAGGAATCTCCGAGGATAGTGTTTTAGAATTAGGGTGATTGGAGGAGAGTTTTCACAGCTCTACTAAGGATTTTGGTTTGTTTGTAGAAGGTATTAGAAAGCCATAGGTATCTGAGCTCACTAGGATTAGGCTCTGGCGCTTACCTGCTTAAAGCATTTCACATTTACTTTGTGTGAGCTATGAAACAAGGAGATGAGCATACAGACGTTGCCCTAAGTTCCATTTGGGGGCCATGAGGAGGCATTTCACAAAACAACTTTGGGTGTCCTGTATATGTGTAGCAATACTAAGGGAACCTGTCTGTGATCTGAGTAGGCTGTATACAATGTAAGTGAGCCGGAGAAGTGCTTGGTAGTGTTTTCAAGTGCTGCTAACTTCTGGCAGCAGAAGACACCCTTTGAGAGGATACTGGCAGAGCTGGTTATCTCTTCAGGATGGTGGGCAAGTTCCACGAGCTTTCTCTCTTGATTTTGGGGCTATGTAAAATGGACTTGTAACATGATAGAATCCTGTGTAGCTTGGTAGGGTTTTGCACTGGTGAGCTTTTCATTTCTTGTCCTTTATATATTTAGTAAATTGCTTTGGTTCCTTTAATTAAAGATCCCACTGGTCAACAGAAGCAGTTTTAGTTATGAAAGGACATTAATTGAAAAAAAAATGTTGGCAATTGAGGTGTGTGCTCCTTGATTTACTGTCTTGCAGATTGGCTCAAGTACATGTTTTGATGAGAGTAGTTACTGATCAGACCTGGATATTGGTAGTTGCAGATCATTCACTGAGCACTTGGATTATCGTGAGAGCTCCATAATTGATTTAAGGCTTCCAGTCTTTTCCACCTTCGGTCCATCTTGTCAGCTTCCACTGGTGAATCTTTCGGAAGCACCGTTATTATCTTATTTCTATTTGTAGTTGGAAAAGGTGGTGAATCAAATGCCTTCATCCTCTCTTCCTTCCAGATCAGTTTGGAAATAGTCAACAGAGATGGAGGTGCAGTGATCAGCTTTATTATAAACTGGGCTTGAAGAACCTCCACCAGCTTGTGGCTGGAATTGGGCTGCTTGTTACTCCCTCAGTTGAGTTTACCCCCCCAGAACTGCAGGCACTGAAGCCTGGAGCACACGTGGGGCCATGTCTGCTCTGTTCCTTTTCCCAGTCTCTCCAGTCTGATAGGTCCCTGATTAGATGTGGGAGGAGTTTGAAGAAGGGCTGAAAATCTGTCGCCAGTATTATTCCCTCCTTGGGAGTAAAACAGCGGGGATCGGGAAATGAGATTTCTTCTAACAGTTTATGCCTGTTGTGAAACTTATGATTGTTCCTTCTGCTTCAAGACAAAGTCCAGACTCCTTTCTGTTATTTATACACTTTGGGGTCTGACCCTTCCCCCACTTCCAGTCTGACAATAGACCTCACCAGCTAGACTGATGTCACTGGCCCTTAAAGACACTTGACTTGTTTCTCCTGGATTGCTCTTGCTCTTCCTCCCAACATGATGCCCTTGTCCTTTTCCTAGGATCCCAAGTCCTTTCCATTTCCAGATCTGAGTGCAAGTCCCAGTTCTCCATAGAGCTTCCCCAAACCAGTGTGCTGGTGTGTCCCCTCTTCCATAGCACTTGGAGCCTTGCTCTGCATTGTAAATCAGAGATTTTTTCCCTGGAAAGACTGAAGCAGAGCTAGTCTGACTTGTACTGTAGCCAGGAAGAGGGAGACCCACTGAGAAGTGACTTGTGTACAGGGGTGTGTCGTAAACTCAGACCTCCTGATCCCCAGTCTTGTACATTTCCCTCTGCAGAAGGTGCCTTTAGTCATAAACTGTCATTGTCATGTGTGTATGACTTGTCTCGTCAATATCAGTTAAGTGCCTGAGGTCAGGACCACTATGCTTTGTGTCTTTAATGCTGTTGGGGATCAGTCACCAGAGAGGTTTGTCAGGTCGTTTGACACATTAAGAGTGTTTCTGTATTTATACATTATAATATATAATTTATATACTTTACATATTTATATATAATTTATGTATTTATATACTCTGTATTTGTATATTATATCATATGTATGTAATTTGTTTTCCTAGAACAAATGGGTAGAGCTCGTCTCCCTGAAAATAAAACCCATATAAGATATAATAACTCCCATTATTTTTTTCCATTGTTAAATAATAATAGGTGGTGTCTCAGTTTTAACTAAAGAAATGAACATTTTTTTTAAAGATTTTTATTTATTTATTTATTTATTT